AATGATTAAAATTTAAAAATAGAAATAGTTAAAAATCTGTAAATTAAAATGATTAAAATTTAAAAATAGAAATAGTTAAAAATCTGTAAATTAAAATGATTAAAATTTAAAAATAGAAATAGTTAAAAATCTACAAATTAAAATGATTAAAATTAAATAAAATAATTAAGAAATCTGCAAATTAAAATGATTAAAATTTAAAAATAGAATGATTAAAAATCTGTAAATTAAAATGATTGAACCCTTGCGCCAAAAATGTAAAAAAATCAAAAAAAAAAATTGAGAATTCACACAAACGAAAGAAATATCAAATTCTTCATTAAAATTCGCAAATTCACAAAATTTATAATTTCACATTAATTAAAATAATCATTAATAAAATCACTAAAATTCGCTTAAAATTAGCAAAGAACAAATAAAAACAAATATTTACTATACCGCAAATAAATCCTCATAAATTGTTCTTCAAATAAAAATGGTTAGATATCAATGCCAAATTTGTAAAAGAGAATTTTCAACTTACTGCGGTTTAAAACAACATGCCAATGCTAAACATCACGGGAAAATGAGATCCCCCCAACTAAATGAGTCACCAGTACAGCAAAGATCTTTGTTGCAGCCATTAAGAGAAATGATAAGATCAGAACATGATGCAGAACTTTGGAGCACGTCAATTATTATGCCAAACCCAACTACTTCGCAAGAAAAGCTTACATCACAGGATGATGATGATGAGATTAAGCAATTTGAACCTTCATCTCAAGATGAAGACTTAGTAAATATTGCAGATGAGTTAGAAGATGAACCACGTTATCATTTGCGAAAAAGGTTACAATCAGAAGAGAGGGTCGAAGCAAATTTTGAAGAATCGGAAGCAGAATCAGAATTAGTAAACTTTGAAGATACTGAATTCATTGATCCTGAAGACCTTCAGGGTGCGTCATTAGATGATGCCATAGATGTAGTTGATGGAAAACCCACACCAGAGCGCAAAGTAAAATGGCCGAATGATGCATATCGCGACTTTTTGGAGTTGATAGTAGAGGGTAATATCTCTAATAAGATAGGTGATAAAATAATAAAGTTTTTCAACAAACATAGTAATTTAGACAAATCACCATTGCCAAGTTTAACTAAAAATGGCAAGGATTATCTTAATCAAATAAATTCACCTTTGATAGACTTTAAAGAAAAGGTTGTTGCGACCTATAATGAAATTAATTTTACCCTCTACTATCGCCCACTTTTTCTTGCTATTCAAGCTCTTCTGCAACGACCGGAAGTAGCCAATAACTTCGTTCATAAAGGAATCCAAAATAAAATTAAGGTCTGTATAATAATTTGATTTCCGTCTGCAATGATAAATTACATTATTTATGCTTATTTAGTTGTTCATATTCTCAGGATGATAGAGGTGAAACAAGAATATTTGGCAAACCTTTCGAAGGTAACTGGTGGTTAGAAACCGAAAAGAACCTTCCATCATTAAATTGACTATTGTCCATCATCTTATACTCAGACGCAACAACTTTTGATGGACTTGGGAAATCATCAGGCCATCCAGTTTTTTTAATTCTTGGTAACATTCCAAATCGTATTCGAAATTTGCCGGAGGCTAAAATTCTTTTAGGATTTCTCCCTAAAGTCCAAAATACAGGAATCAAAACAACAGAAAGTTTTCGAAGCTTACAGCGCGATGTATATCATAAATGCTTCAAAATTATGCTCCAACCTTTATTAGAAAAATCTGAAGCGCTATATTTTGGAATTAATGGACAAGTGATTACTTTCGCTGCACTGATATCTTTTTTTCTCGCAGATATGTTTGAAGCTGATGATATAACTGCGACATATAAAGGAGCGCGGTGCAAAATGCCATGCCATACTTGCATAGTTTTGCAAAGTGATCTGAACAATATGAGTCTTAAACTAGAGAACGTACCTCATAGAACTCATGAAAATATGAAGCAAGTAATCAACGATGGCCAAGGAAAGGAGTATTCTGTGCATTCTGTTGAAAATTCCTTCTGGAAATTTCTGTAAATATCTTTATATTTCTGTAATGAATTTCAAAGATGTAAATTTTTACGCACATATAATTTGTTTCAGAAATTTGAATATATACGAAGCCTGCGTTCCTGACCGTATGCACCATATCGATCTTGGACTCTTCAAATACCAATTGGAATTTACACAAGATATTTTGAAGGNAAAATTTGAATATATACGAAGCCTGCGTTCCTGACCGTATGCACCATATCGATCTTGGACTCTTCAAATACCAATTGGAATTTACACAAGATATTTTGAAGGCAGTCAGAGAAACAGAACTACAAAAAAAATTTGATGATCGACTTCGTCAGATTCCTTTCTTTCCGGGTCTTAAATTCTTATATAAATTAGGACATTTAAACGTACTTACTGCGTCAGACTATCGTAACATAATGAAAATTGCCCTTTTTGCTTTAGATGAAATTTTTGAAGGGAACGAAATAACCTGTAAAGAACTTTGCGAACTTTACGCAAAGTTTAGTAAGATGTACATAATGAGCAGGAAAGAAATGTACACTGAAGAAGATCTGAAATTTTTTGAAGTAAGTCAAAGTTCATAAAGTCACATTGAAAATTATCAACACACTAAAGATTATCAATTATAGTCAGCAATTATTGATTGGTGCATTGATTTCAAAAAGATCTTCTCTCCATTGTCCACTACTGACTGCAATTTTCTGAAGTTACACAGTTAGCAGTATCACGCAGGTAGGACGCTAGTAAACATACAGTATATGATTTTATCCTAATTTATTTTGATTGTTTTCAGTGCCTGCTATTAGAAAATATGGTGCATTGAATGGGTTATCAACGGAAACGTACGAAACCCTTCACAAATCATATGTCAAAATCCCATATCAGTTATCAAACAGAAAAAACGTAATGAGACAATTGGTGAACGCTGTTAGTTGAATCCGACATGACTGAAATCAATTTCTTTGAAATATACATACTGTACATTTAATTATAAATTCTAATATTTTTTATAGGTAAAACACAAAGAATTGACATCTTCTGCTAAAAAAGTTATTCATCGTAAAGCCAAAGGATTTGGAAAAGTACTTTGGGAACTAACATTAGATAATATCGACCAAAAAATAAAATCGTTGAAAAAATCTGAAAATCCACCACATTCAAACTTCATTGAAGGGTTATCGCAATTAATTTCAACTTTAGATACCTTTCTGGACACATCTTCGCAGTAGTCTTAAAGTGACGAATTTTACATTAAAATTTATGATTCAGTACACCTGGAAGATAGACATATTTTAAGAATGACAGGAGAATTCCAAGGTAAAGAATGGTTTAGTAATATTGCGGTAACTCCTGCGGAAGATCAAGAGCAATACAATTCGGATGAGGGAGCTTGGTATAGAAAAGTAAGTGAATGATTAAGATTGATAAAGTGTTGTATGTCATTAATCAATTTTCTTTATAAGGTGTTGTTATTATTTAAATTCTTCCGAGATTCTTTCAAAGAGCCATATGAACTTGCTCTGGTTCGTTGGTTTGATATTATTACGGAGGAACCCGAACTGTACGGGTGTCCGCAGTTGTATTACACCAAAGAATACAACACAATACCAATCGGTTCAATTAACCAAGAAGTTCATATAGTTCCAAGGTTTGGCAAAGTAAATCGTTATTTGTTAAATAAATACATTTTTTAAAAATTACTGAAAAACTTTAACGAAAGTAAAGTCAGAAAGTTTAAAAAATAAAATTTGTAAATTTGTTGAAAAACTTTAACAAAAGTATTAAAAAAAAACTATTAAAAAACTTTAGCGAAAATAAATTGTCAACGGAAATGATCGAAAAGCTTAATTAAGCTTAATTACTAATTGAAATCGAAAAGTTTAATTAGTTAGTTACTCAAAGTTTAAACGCAATTATAAACCCGCAATTTTGAGTTAAAGAATTTCGCAGAGTTTCGCAAAAAAAAAAAGAACAAAAAGTGAAGATCTGCTATTTTGCAAAACTTCGCAAAACTGGCATGTTTTAAATTTTCTGTTAAATGAAATTCTGCAAAATTGCAGAATTTTGCTGATTTTATAGATAAAAATATTCAATTATCTGCGAAGTTGCAAAGTTTGCAGAACTTCGCAGAAATACACAAAAAATGACAAAAAAAAAGCGGAGATCTGCTAATTTTACAGATCTCTGCAGTTCTGCATCCCAAAAAATTTCCAGATGTTAAATATCTCGGCATCCAGTGACCGTAGAAAGATGATCTAACCACCATTTGACTCGTCGTTATGAGACGATTCCAACGAACTATAGTGCATCTTTCTACGATCATTGAATGCTAAGTTATTACATGAAATGTAATATTTTTAGGTTTCGACAATTTCGACATGTCGAAACTATTTCGGCATTTCGGCATTTTGACAGGTTTTAGTTTTAACATTTCAACAATGGCCTGTAGAGTTTTGGCAGGCAACTTTAGTAATGATTAGACTGGATTTTTAATAGGATAATATATTTATTATTATGGATTTAGGTATATCTATTAGAACAGCCTGAAATTTCTTACATTTTTTTGTATTGCTTTAAATTTCAGATTGCTAGAAACTATTATACTGATATTTCTCTTAGTAGAACTATCTAAACTCCAGTATTTTATTATTTCAATTTCTAAAGCTATCTTATTAAGATTGATTAAAACAATAAATATTATATATTTCTTTTATAATTTAAATTTCAGTACAATTACATACCTTTATCTTTTAAGATAGTTTAGAATATTGAATTGAAACTATTTGAAAAAAATATCGTAATTACTATTTTTCAGATAATTATTTGTCAAAACAGATTCATATTCAGTTATCATAATTAAAAATTTTTTTTCTAATATATGTAAAGATGGTCAATAGTCCTAAAGACCATGGTTAAGACCGGTCCTACATGCAAAAAGACTAGACCACATAGGACGCAGTCCTCCATCAGGCTTTATAAATTTTGAAATCTATAATAATTTTGGTCAGAATTAAATGATCAGCATAAAAATTTCATTTTTTGTATTGTTGTATAACTAGGATTCAAGTGTGACGGGAATAAAAATTTTCTTTTTTTGGATTTATGTAATGTCACATGATAGATTTTGATCAATCATCGTGATCGGTCTTTATTTAGGACTGGGTATTAAAGATTGCAGTTCAGTCTGGTCCATCGAGTAGGACCATTGATCATCTTTAAATATATACAGTTATTTTTTTATTTTTTTTTTATATATTATTACTACTGATATTACTATTTTTTGAAGTAATTTTATTTTTTCTTTTATTTCTAAAAGATGTAAGAAAGCTAGATAGAACTATTACTATTTATATTTTGTAAAACCATATCAGTATAACTAACCTATTTATTTTTTTCTTTTAAATAAATAGCTTAGTAATTTGCATGTTCAATAATTAGTATATAAATTCTTTAATAATTTCATATTTGTAAGTAAAGATATTTATATAACTAATTGGCTATTAGTTATTTTTATTAATATGATAAAGTCAGCTGTCTTTTTTTCTATAAATTTTATTAAACTTTAATATTTACATATACCAGCAAACTGGTAAATAATAAAAAAAAAGTGCGTAAATTTATTTGTGTCAGTAATATCCATATTCAAAGCAACTTCACTATACTTGACTTATAAATTAAATATATATTTGCTATGTAATACTAGGGAAATAATAAAATATATCTGAAAGTAGTGAGTTATGTTTATTGCACTACTTTTTGTAAATCAAATTTTCTTTATTACGCAATTTGTAATATATATAAAAATAAATATTATTTTATTTTTATAAATTAATTTATCATATTATTAATATAATTATGATTAATGTAATTATTTATATATTTTGAATTATGAATTACATTTTTGGCTAATGATTTATCAGGCCATATATAGTTAAGTAGAATTAATTTAATGAAAAAATGGAAAAAATTTGTTAAATAATTGTAGAATAGACAAAAATAGTAAAATACATATACTAGAATTCTGCTTACTTCTAATAGAGGTCTCTGAAAAAAATTTCAAATTTACTAGTAATTTTATTACTAGCAATCCTATTGGTTAATTGATCTAAAAAGGAAAAAAATTATAACAACTTAATATAAATTAAGAAATTCTTTATTTTTTAATATAATTAAATTTTATTAAGGTAATACAGATCAAAAAGTGAAAAATCAGGCATTAATCAGTCACCAATCAATCACCAATCAGGTAACTGATTGGTGACTGATTGGTAACTGATTGGTGACTGTTTGATACCTGATTTTTTACTTTTTGACCTGTGTAAATTATATATAAACTTCTTTGCAAATCTTATTATAAAAGGAAATTTCATATTATATTATTATAGTTTTGTTTCTTTTTAATTAATTAACCAATAGAATTTAAAAAAAAAGTAAAATAACTAAAAAGAAAATTTTTTATGGTGATTTTTATTATAAATAAGTAAGGTTCTATAAATTCCAGATATTATATTAGAATTTTGCAAAATATTTGGATTTGTAAATCAGATTTAAATTAAATCTGGATTGAATTATAAAATTTACAATCTATTATCTAATCAAATCAAAAAAAATATGATTTAATTAAATACAAATCTTGATTTACAAATCATCCAATTGATAATTTTTATTAAAATCAATCATATTTTTATATTATATAATAAAAAAATTGAGAAAATTAATTTTTTTTGAAAATATTGGTTAAAAAAACTAAACTTGTTTTTTAATAATAAAAAAACTGAGATCATTTAAAACTGAATACAGTGACCTCTATATAATCACACCCCATATAGTCACATCATATAAAATTCCTCTATATAATCACACCTTTGGGAAATACCAATATATATAATTACTATATAAAAAAACCTTTGTATAATCACATTATAGTAAAAGCCTCTATACAGTCACTGATTTTTGCAGAACTGATTAGGTGACTATATAGAGGTCTGACTGTATATAATAAATTGCACCAATTTCTCAACTTGTAATCAAACTAAATAATGCATTTTTAAAAGGATATATGTTATATAATGCATTTATATAGAATGCATTTATAGGGAGTTATGTAATATGTATAAAAGTTGGTATAAATTATAAAAATCTTTTTAATAAATAATGCTAAGATTTTTGAAGAAATTAGAAGGTTTTAGCATATTTTGCAAATCATAAAAAAAAAATATTATAATATTCTTATTTAAAATTATTATTTTATTCTATAATACTAATTAATTTAAAATATAATTACTGTAAAATAATTATTACAATCTTTTAATTAGTATAAATTCCAAATTTAAATACAAATTCAATTGCCCAAATAAATAGTTATTTGATAAAAACTCTGGTTTTATTATTATATACTGTAAATTAAAAATAATTAGAATTAAATTTACAATGTCAATAATTTAAGCTATTATAGCCACTTCACACTATCATATATGCTAATCCTAGCCAGAATTATACGCAAAAAAACGCATAATTTCGGAAGTAAATGATACGTATAATTAAATAATTAGATGAGTAAGATAAAATTTCTATTTTATTCAACTGAATAGTAAATATATTTGAACCAAAAGATATATTATTTGTATAATGTAAGATCTGACACGTTTAGAATAGAAAAGCTGCATTTTTCTCAAACAAAAAAACGGGATAAACACCGAAATTGGTGCGCTTTAATAATATTTCCAAATGTGTTTTCATTAGTAAATCTTGAGAACTCAATTAGTGCCCCATAACTTATTAAAAATGTTTCCAAAACTGGTTGGTGCTTTCCTTCCAGCACGTTGAGATAAAGTAGAAGGAAAATCAACGTAATTAAAAGCAATATCAAAGAATAATGGTTTGGCAGGAATAGGAGTAAATTCGGGTGGAAAATCAATTAGTCGCACATTTTTCATTGACAAACTGGACGGATATTGGCTAAGGCGTTTGCTTAAAGATGGCTTAATGAATAATTGAAACAAAATTAGTCACATTTTTATAATCGATAATGTAAATGATAAAACGAAAAAAATTTTTTACCTCATCTCTATTATCAATATTACTGTCAGCTTTGGATTTGTCATCAAAACTCAATTCACCCATTTTTTTAGTCAAATTAGAATCTAACCCAATGTGCCAAGCAGCTCGGGCCTTACATTTTAGACCACGCAAAATATTTTCCAACTCAGCAATTTCTTTGGAAGTTACAACTAGTATATCATCTTTATCTGGTATTAGTTGAGACAATGAAGCCCTTGCTTGAGCATTGTATTCTTTAGCACGCTCATATAAAAGTATTGCCTCCCATTCCTTATTTAGAGCCGAATAAGCTGAGGCAACATATAAGGTCCTATAACCAAAACTTTCTTAATAATTAAAAAAAAAAAAAAATTTTTTTATGGGAATTCACAAGTGATTTTACCTCCATGCTTTATAATACCAAATCTTAGAATCAATCTCTCTAGATAAATTAACATCATTATGAACTGCGGAAAGATCACTAATCTCGGTTAGACTCTATATATTTCAAAACAATTAATTGCATAATTGCATTAGATAAAAAAAAATAAAAAACATAACAAATTAGTTAGTTCATACTATACCTGTAAAACATTATCATATAATTTAACTATATCTTGATATTTTCCTCCAACAAGCCGCTCTTCTTCCACGTGTTCATGATTTTCTAAACTCAATCGTAATGAACTGACGAGCATTAAATTTCGCTGTATTCTACGGGACAAATAGTTATATGCTACATAATTGTATACAAAGTTGAGGTCCGCAGAAACTTGTTCTGATTTAGAAGACTTAATTTTTGCCGTAGCTTCCTTTGTTAACAGAAATAATTAATAAGTGAATAGAACAGTATAATAATAAATTAGGACGTTGTTAATGGATATAAAGATAGAAAGATTATATTTTACCGCATCTTCCTTCACAGCATTTTTGGTAAACTTTTCTGCATCTCCATAAGCCTCAAGGAGAAGGTCAAATAATTCCATCTTAGTTGCTTCTTCTGCATTCGCATCTGAAGCGTTTTCAAGGTTCGTTGTAGCCTCACGTGCTCGTAAAATACATATCGCCAGATCTGCATTCTTAAGTGGTACTACACGGCCACGCCAAGATATGGATGTAAGGGCAGCGGCTTTTTCTTGACGAGTTTGAGCAAGAACAGACTATCATAAGAAGCAATATGTTAATTTATATATTTTAAAAAAATCCAATAACAATAATAAATTTGAAGTAAATCAAAAACAAAAATTTTACCTCTACTTCCGCTTCCAATAAATCAAGGCCAACGCCTTTATTCTTTCCTATGGTTATTTTGACAAGATCTTCAACTCCCGTATTACTATCAGTGCCTAGCTTCAACTTGAATGCGCAAAAACGGATATTCGGATCAATATCATCAATCGCAGATTGACAAAGAATTTCTTGATGAGAAGATCCAGCCTTAGATAATTTCTCGTATATCGTTCTAAAGTAATAACAGTGTATTTAACATAAATTAAACCTTAATAGCATCTGGTTCTTGATTGCACTACCTTGCTGCAGCGAATCTATCTAATGCAGCTTGCCAAGACTGTTTTTCGAATAAAAAATAACCAGACATTAAGGCAGAATAAGCCTGCAGAGAAGAAAATTTTTAGCAATTTATTAAGTAGCTAAACTTGAAAATTTTACTAGTACTAACTTGTGCTTCAAAGTAAGTTCTAGTATCCACTATATTGGAATCTCGTGAGCACAATTTTTCTAGTTGTTCTCCGCATTTTGCTGCTTTTTTTAACCTTTTTATTAGATGATGTTTCTTGCGAACATCACCACTTGATCTAGATTCTCTTTTTAATTCCATAGCATAACTCCAAGCACGTTCAGTATCAAACAAAACGATCCGCAAATATCTTAATATAAATCATTAACGTAGTTATTTTAATAAGAAACTTTATCGTAAGTTCATGTATAAATCACACGTATATCACCTAGCATCATTAACTACGATGTTGGATATTTCTTTTTTTTGAAAAGACTTTCCTTTGCCGTGAGTGAAATTCAAAGATTTACGAAGCCGGTGAACCTTTTGTGTACAATACTGTCTAGTATCCCAATTTATAAAAAATTATAAAACCTAAATATTAACTGGATAGAGATTTTTTTTTTTTTTAAAAAAAAAATACCTATAACGCGAATAGTCTTGATGTCTAAGGCCATAAGTATTCCTAGCCTCATTTGTTAAAGCCAAAACTAAAAAAGCAGAGCATGCTAAGGAAGGCTTTTTTCTGTTTAAAAAACAAATATATACAATTATAAAGGATACTATCAAGCGAAAAAGTAGTGCTTTGCGTCTCAATTTCCATCCTTTCTGAATTGATGAAAAAATTCTGTTTCCATAAAAAAAGGCACGTGAAAATTCATGTATATATTACGTTATTAATAGATTGCGGCTTATTTTATATTAATTTATTAAAATTTTAAATATTAAAAATGACAATCATTTTTTTCAATTTTCATTCAAAAATAAAATAAGTTTCACTATAGGGTAGGGGAAATAATATAGTAATAAATTATAAAAAACAATAACAAAAACATCAAAATCAAAGAATATTTCCATTCGATTGAATAAATAGAAAATTTACTCATTATTATTAAGGATGAATGAATTAAGACAAACTAACAAGCGGCGCTAAAAGGATATATATAAAATAAAATAAAATAAAAATTGACACAGAATTAAGAATTTACTTTCGTCAGTCAACGCTCAAACTAAATGTTTATGATGATGACAACTTAGTTACAACAACTTGACCCTGAATTGGATTTAGTATTTTTGTTATCCAATTCAAGTCTTTTGTTATGAGTATTTTGTTGTTCTTGTGCATGTGTATCGATTAATCTCTTTTTAATATCCCTGTAATAAAATATAATGTCATTTATTTCAAATTTCTTCTTAAAATTTTCTTAGTTAATTATATACAAACCTAGCTAAAGTAAAGAATGCCTCTTCAACATTGATATTTGCTTTAGCACTAGTTTCCAAGAATTTAATACCAAATTCATCTGCAAGTGCCTGACCTTGTTCTTTCGTGATCGCCTAGAATATAATATATTTTTTAAAAAAATAATTCATTAATATACAGAATTATAATAGGCTAAACGAGTTTGCTTGACATTTTCTTCACCTTTTTTTCAACCCAATCACACTTATTTCCAATGAGAATCTTATTAACACCCTCACTAGCGTGTTGTTCTATATTGGAAAACCAATTCCTTATGTCTGATTAATTCACCAAAAGATGTTAAAGACAATAACTAATTTTGAACAACTTCAATTCACTAAATACAAAAAGAAATCAAAGGATACTCTTAAATGATCGTTCATCAGTGACATCATATACTAAAAGTATACCCATAGCACCACGATAATAGGCTACAGGAAGAGGGTGTTAGCGCAAAACAATAATATAATTTAATCCTGGAATTATTAAGTAAAATTTTAATTTTAATACCTGTCGTAATAGTGCGGAAACGTTCTTGACCAGCAGTATCCCAAATTTGAAGTTTAATTCGTTTTCCATCTAATTCGATCGTCCTAATTTTAAAGTCGATCCCAATAGTAGTAATAAAAGAGGGAGTAAAGGAGTCATCGGAAAAACGGAGTAATAAACAACTTTTGCCGACACCTGAATGATTTTGAAGTTTAGTATAAACTGTGCTATAATTTCACTTGAAATAATAAAAAAACATAGTTCCTTCAAAGTTAAGAGAGTAAAAGCTTTTTACAAAAGCAGATGGTGATTTTCTTTCTAGTCTAGTCGAGATTTGCAAACGTATAAAGAACAATCAATTTCAACTAAAAAGAATCTTTACCAGAATCTCCGATCAGAAGAAGCTTTATAAGATAATCATAAGCGGCACTCTTGCTTTGAGCCATCGTTTTGCCAATTTGAATTAAAACAACTGGAAACTTAAATGTAGTTTTGAAAATGGCCTCAGAGTAAAAACGCCGAGTCACTGAGGAGGGAAAGTTTGGAGGCGACTGGGATTTTTATGGTAAGAGTTGTATTACGTAAGTTACACTGTGTAATACAATGCTAGGGGTTTATAAAGCTACGGGCCTACAGTTTCATTCAATCTGAATTATTATTATATATCCATTTTTGAAGTTCATATATTATATTAAACTAGGGGTGAGATCAAGCATTAGATATTCAATTTAATGATCACGTGAACAACTCATGATAATCAATTTTGGTTAGACCGTTGTGGCAAACATACTTCTTTTTAAGAACTTTCACAAAGAACTGATGACCTCAATATGACTTCATCAATTATAATTGATTATTATAAATAATAGATGACCATTTTACCTATTTTACGCAATTCTTTCCGACTTCTATATTTTCGTTATAATTTTGTATTAATTAGTTATCATGGCTGACTTTATAAAACTATCGATCTTCGGAACTGTTTTTGAAGTCACAACAAGGTATTTTTATTTCAGTTCAAGTATTAATGTTGCCATAATTTATATATCGTTCCGTAATTTTACACAATTAGATATGTGGATCTTCAACCGGTTGGCATGGGAGCCTTTGGTCTAGTTTGGTATGTTAATTTCTTTAGGATATCTCATTCAAGCAAAAATTGAGTAATTCATAATTTTACTTAGCTCTGCAAAGGACCAACTTACCGGTACAAACGTTGCAATAAAGAAGATCATGAAACCTTTTAGTACTCCCGTTCTTTCAAAGAGGACATATCGTGAACTTAAACTATTGAAACATTTGAAACATGAGAATGTTGTTTTTCAGAACAATTTAATAGAAATTTAAGTTGATGTTTAAACACCTGTACTAATATATTTTATTTTCTAAATTTAGATTATTAGTTTAAGTGACATTTTTATTTCTCCGTTAGAAGATATGTATGTAAATTGTCTTTAGTTTCCATTTAAAAGACCTAGTCAATATCTCGGAATTAGGTTGCGATATTTCTTTTCTTGTGCGAAATTTAGCTGAATTAGTCATTAAACTAACATTTATTGTCAATTATTCTCCTTATACTTGTTATATAGATATTTTGTTACAGAATTGCTGGGAACCGATTTACACAGACTTTTGACATCTCGTCCATTGGAAAAACAATTCATTCAATACTTTTTGTATCAGATATTGGTAAACTTAAAATATTTAATAATTTATTCTTGTATATATTATCATTATTTTTCTTTATTTTTTGCTGATTAATAATTTACAATTTAGCGAGGGCTGAAGTATGTCCATTCTGCTGGTGTTGTGCATAGGGATTTGGTTCGTAAACTTTAAATTATTATAATTCATTTGATTTTGATTTTATAATTAGTTCAAAAACTCAAGTAATTTTTTTTTTTCTTATGAAAAGAAACCAAGTAATATTTTGGTTAATGAAAATTGTGATTTGAAGGTAACGTATTATTTTTACTTTAATAATTTATTCATTATTAAATTGGAATAACGCATTTTATTTCAAATTTAGATCTGTGATTTCGGACTTGCACGTCTTCAGGATCCCCAAATGACTGGTTATGTTTCAACAAGATATTATAGAGCTCCGGAAATCATGCTTACATGGCAAAAGTATGATGTGGCAGGTATACATTATTCTTTGTGATTAGGCATAATTATACAATATAATGAATTAATTTCTGATACTATGAATAGTTGATATTTGGAGTGCGGGATGCATCTTTGCTGAAATGTTAGAAGGAAAACCTTTATTCCCAGGAAAAGACCGTAAGAATAGTTTATTTAATTTATATTTATTTGTAATTTTTTAAATATTTTCAATTTATTATTAGATGTCAATCAATTTTCAATTATCACTGAATTACTTGGAACGCCACCTGATGATGTAATTCAAACTATTTGTAGTGAGAATGTATATTTTTATTTTATTTCATTCAGCTTATAATTTATAATTTGTGAAGAAAAAATAATTTAATCCAAAATTTAGACACTTCGCTTTGTGCAATCTTTGCCAAAACGCGAAAAAGTTCCTTTTTCTCAAAAATTTATGAACGCCGAACCTGAAGGTAATAAAAACGAAATTTGTTAGACCTAGGTTACTAAAGCAACTAGCATTCAACTTATAAACTAATATTCCTTCTGGATATCTTCAATATAGCATTAGATTTACTTGAAAGAATGCTAGTTTTTGACCCGAGGAAGCGTATCACTGCTGAGCAAGCGTTGGCGCATAAATATTTAGAACCATATCACGATGAATCTGACGAACCTATTGCAGATGAGCCTTTTGATTGGTCCTTTAATGATGCAGATCTACCTGTTGATGAATGGAAGGTGAAGATGTATCATGAAATTTTGGGTATTTATTACTATTACTATACTTTTATTGGTAAATAAATTGATAAATAAAAATAATGAATTAATTTATATTATAAATTATAGATTTTCATAATGTAGATGGCCAAAATTATGCGGATAATTCAGAAATTCAAAAATCTTTTCAGTAAATTTAACTTTTTAAATACATACACTTACATATAGTTGCGATTATTTTTACCGAAAAAATTTGAAAAATTAAACAAAAAAAAAAATTTATTTATTTATTACTTTATATAATTATTTAATTATGATATAATAATCACATAATTTATATATTGCAAATAGTTCCCTGAAGCATATATTTTAAAATAAACTTCTTTTGTTTATAGATTAATAATCCATACTTAGAGGTGGTTGTATATTATTTAAATAATGTTATTGACCTCTTGCTTTGTTAATGCAGGTAAATTTGCCTGCTTAGTTATTTCAAATTGTTTATTTTTATTTTTATCATAAATACTATAAACTAACCAAAGGCTTATTTATATACATAAATAAAAATGTTTCTGCATACTTTTATACTAATTTAAACTTCTATAAATAATATAGTATTATTCAAAAAAAATTTTATCATATTTTTCAAATTAGTATACCTTTCTAAAAACAATTAATTTTCAAAAATTTATAATTTATTAATTTATTGTATTATGCAGAAAATGGTCAATTATTAATGATTCTAAAAGAATTTTGATAATTTTCTTAATTTTTTAAAGTATTTTTTTGTTAAAAATATTAGCATTACATAAAATTTCAAATTTGTTTATAATAAAACTACTTTAAAAATCACAAAATTCTTTTAGTATTATAATAAATGATAACTATAGCAGTTATATAAATTACATAATTCATTTGCATTCAGAGGGTTGATTTCCCTTAGTGCAGTCGTTAAGGTGCACTCCTTCATTAAGCTTGAGATTGCAGGTTTAATTTTACTGATTACAGAAATTAAAAAGAATTTTACTGCAGATATTATTACCAATAGTGTTTCACATAAATCAACTTTTTCCTCTAAAATTCAATTCAATTCAGACTCAATTTGTACTTGATTTGACTCCTAAATTTAATTATTTCAGGTCCAATTTTGATTAGTGTTTTTTATAAATGAGTTGAGTTTTAAATCAATTTTTTATATAATAAAATTTGTCCTACACTAATTTTTATAATACTTTAACTATATTATTTATGTTATGCAAGTCTATGTAAGTCATTTTGAGTCGCATATACAGAACTTTCATTACCCTGATTAAAATAAAAAAAATAAAAAAATATCATCAAAATTGAACTGCTAGATCAAAAGTTATTTGCAAAATATGTTTTTGCTTTTTGGAAGCAATCAGGATTATATTGTATTACAAATCAATTCATGTAAAATATTATCGCCATTTTCAATTTGGTTGAATCTGCACTATGTCGATCAATTATAATAAAATTGGCGAAAACTCGTGATTTTGTAAAGTAGTACATATAAAACTTTATGCTTTGCTTATCAATATACATGCTGCCCAAATTATTTTGGAATGCCATAATTATAATTTGGGATGCCATAATTCATTCGGTTTATATATAATTTACTATGTAAAGTGCCAAAATAATTTGGGATGCCATAATTGAATTTGGGATTTTACTTATAATTACGGCAGTCCAAAATAATTTGGGTGGCATGTATACTTATCAACATGCAAATTTTTTGTATTACACATGATGATTGGGTTATAACGCGTATGTTTTTGTACTTTCTTTGAATTTTTTTTTAACATTCGGTCTACATTATATATTGCAATAACTACAATTATAACGCTTGTTCAACTAAAGTTTTGAACTGAAATATTTATTTCTTGATAGAAAAGACCTTGTGTATGTATTTTTTAGATTTATTTCGCTTTTATTTGTTAGATTTACTTTAACATTAGGTTCTATACTATATTTATGATTATTTCTGCTTATTCAACTAAAATTTTATCTTATTTATAAATAGAAATACCTCATACCTAAAGAATTTAGTGAAAATTTACGATGGAGAGTAGTATATTTATATACCGATGGTTTCTTTATTATAGATATTGCTAATACATTATATATGAGCAAGTCTTCTGTAACTAGAATAATAAATATTTATGAAAAATGGGCTTGTGTTACCAATCCATATAAAGGGATTTCTGGAAGAAGAAAGCTTTTCAGTAGAAATGATATGTATATACTCCAAAATCTCATTAGAGATAAAGTTAATAGGTATTTAAACGAGTTGGTGAGTGAGATGGAAAATCTTACAGGAAAAAGAGCTTCTATTGCAACACTCTGGAGATCACTTCATTATTTAGAAATTACTAGAAAAAAGGTATTGAAAATTTTAATTTTCAGAAAAAAATTAGAAACTGCATATTCTAATTATAGTTTTTTTTTTTTTTATAAAGTTACAAAAAAAAGCATATGAGAAAAGTGAAATTATACGTGCACATTATTTAGGAATTATTGGTGAGCATTATACTCCAAATCAATTAATCTTTATTGATGAAAGTACTAAGGATGAGAGAAGTTTGTCAAGATTATATGGATATTCTCCTAGAAATATACGTGCATGCAAAAAAGTGGTATTTGTACAAGGAAAAAGATATACAATCTTGCCTGCTCTTACTTTAGATGGATTTGTTGCAGTTGATGTGTTTGAAGGGGCATGTGATAAAAATAAATTTGTTAAATTTGTACTTGATCAAGTGGTATGTAAAATTATAATATTATTTAAAATTATAACTTATATAAATTCTCAATATTTCAATATAGATTCCTGTAATGAATCCCTATTCTGGTAATAATAGCGTTATTATAATAGATAATGTCAGAATACATTATGATGATGATCTTATTTCGCCATTAGAAGGATTGGGATGTCACGTAATTTTTCTTCCACCTTATTCTCCTGATTATAACCCTATAGAAACAGCATTTTCAATAATTAATCATGTATTAAATGTAATTATGATTTTATGGATGCTTGTAATGATCCAATATATACTTTATTAATTGCATGCAGTCAAATTACACCTCAAATGGCACAATCGTTTTTTAAGTCATCAATTTATTTGTAAAAAATTTATTATAAAAAATAAAATAAATTAGAATATCAATTTTATTAGTAAACAATTTTTTATTATATTATATAATGAAATACAAAAATATACTAATCAATCAATATCTTTGTATAACTTTACCATTTGTTCATCAGTCAAATCTTTAATTGCATTTACCGTAATTTCTTCTTCTAAAAAAGCATTTTCAAATTTGGAATATACATTATTACAATTATATTTTTGATCTAAGTTAAGAAAAAATTCAGTAACTGAAGGTAATTCATGATTTGTAGTAGGTGATGATATTGGATGAATAGATGTTAGATGAATAAATGTAGGACCCAGAAATATATATATAGGGGTCAGGTGATGAAAAAAATTTTTTACTATGAGCTGTACGCATTTTTTCAGGGCCGGAATTATGATAATGCCAGTCGGTTACTATAATAGGAAATAAATTCTGACTGGCATTATCAAAAATTATCTAAAAAAGAAAAGATTTTCATGATTTTTTTAGTTCAAAATACGCAAACTCAAACCTGACTCTTTTATATATATTTCTGGGTCCTATAAATGTATTTGAAGGAGAATAAGAATAAGGATATGGCATTTGAATTACAATAGGATTAACAGGTATAGTGGATGTAGTAGACGCTATAGTTGGTATTTGTGTATCATTATTTTTGTTTACCAACGTGCCCAATGCTGCATTGAATGTTGGAAATATTGGAGGAATGTCATAAGTAGTATTTTTATTATACTATAATTTTTATTGAAATTAGAATTGAAATAAATGCAAAATCAATTTGCTAATAATTAAAATTACTTACAATTTCACATGCCCAAAGCTGTAATCTAGCTGGATTTAGTTGTAAATGGCGATTTTCTTGAATAAAGCATGGTGTATTATGCATATCACACTTGTATTTTTCACATAAAGCAGCTATGATTTCCGCTCTTATTTGTTCTTCTTTAGATAAATCACTTTCTTAAGTAATATGCGACTTTCTTTTCTTTTTAGAATTTGATAATATTCTTTGATTTCTTTCTTTATCAGAAGCTGAGGAATCACTTTTGTCAGAAGCCTGAAATTTTTAATATGAAATTTTAATCCTAGGGTTATAATGGGCCAGGCAGAACCTGATATGAGAGAATAAGAATTTAATGTGAGTAAATGAGTCTTTACAAATAATGTCGAATTACGCAACGATCAGAGATATAGAATCTTGGAAAAAGGTTGTAGAATTAGAAAACTGTAATCATGCAATAACAGAAATCATGAGTATGCAGAAAGAAGTAAATGATTTTCTACAACAAAAAATCAATATATTAGAAACTCAACTATCCTTACTTAATAATTCAGAAATGGGAACTTATTAAATAATCAAACAATAAATTCGTTCAGCAGTGCTCTAATGCTAGCATCCTCTGTCAAAATAAATAATATCAGAAGTGAGGAGGGTAAAAAGGATGAAAACGGTAAAATTAAAATATGTGAAATATGTGAGTAGGTCTTATTTCGATATAATACTTGTCAAATAATAAATATTATCAGTTATCCTCATAAGTTCATGCAGATTTTACATAATTGTTATTTAGGTTGGTTATCTCATATTACTATGTATTAGCATAATAATAAAATTATTATAAACAGTCCCGTCAAACTGATAATAAATATTATTATTGTACGTGCTGCTATTAGACTATTATTTAGTTTAATCATCCAATAATATATAAATAAGTTCAAGTGATATATCTTATTAACTAATAATACATACCGGGTGTTGCTTAATTTCTAAATAATAAATAATAGAAAAGTTTAAGTCAATGATATATCTTATTAATTAACATATTCCGGTGTTGTTTAATTTCTGCAAATTTCACGTATCATAATACATCATTATACAGTCTAATGATTAATAGTCAGATTTTAATTTATTAAATTTATTAATCATTTAATTGTTAGAACAATTAGAACAATTGAAAATAAATAAAATTGTTAAAAATGATGAAAATAATCGATCTGAAAAAAAATACTGATTTCTTTCTATTACTGTGAATATTTTTTGTTATTTTTTAAAATTTTCATTAAATATGTTCAATAAGAAAGAATTAGAGAAAATAGATGAGCTATTGGGTAAGTTGATCGGTGAACAGCAGATATCAGATATACTTAAAACTAATGATTATCCAAATTAATAGCTTTTATCCAACAAGCTAAATGTATTTTTGAAAAAATATCGAATTTTATACAAGGACAGCAAGAATAAC